CCCCCAAACCAGACCAGGGACACCCGAGCAAAGCCGCCGCCCAGGTGTCCCTGGTCAGGTCCATCGGCTTTGCAGCTTTGCTGCACCCCCCCAGCAGACCAGGGGGACAGGAAAAAAGCCGCAGAGCACGCCTGCAGTGGGACAGCCCGGGCGCGCCTGGACTGTCCTGCTGCCCGCGTGCTCTGCGGCTTTGTGACTACAGGAAGCCCCAAGCAGAGTTGCTCTGCCCCAGGCTTCCTGGAATCAGCCGCTGACCAGTTTCAGCAGCAGCTGACTTGGGGACTGGGTTTCTTAAGTTGAATCTGTATGTAAGTCAGAACTGGCATCCAGATTCAGCCGCGGTTGAAACTGATCAGTTTCAGCAGCGGCTGATGCCAGTTCCAACTTACATACAGATTCAACTTAAGAACAAACCTACAGTCCCTATCTTGTATGTAACCCGGGGACTGCCTGTATTTAAACATTTTCCATTTATGAATGTATACTTGTACTGCATAAAGGCATGTCAGACTTTAAACTTCACATGGCATCTAAAATCATAAAAAAGTGTATACTAAAGAGCCAAAGTTATATACAAAATATATTTCTGCACATATATATTTATGAAATTCTAATTATATACTATTATAATTTGTGTTTTCAAAGTTTGTGTTTGTATTTGGTTTGTGGGATGAGGAAGGAAGGCATTTTATAAGTAACAAAAGTATTTTAAATGTTGTGTTAGACACTAATCTGTGCTCAATCATAACTCCTTAAAATAATATTATTTAATGTTTATACAGCTTTTTATATCTTCAAAGCAATTTACAAATATGAACTTATTAACTATTAATAACATACATTTAGAAAAGATTGGAAATTAAATTCTTACTTGTTTACAAGTGGAATACTTAGTGCCCAGCCAGCAGCAAAATCTGGAAATTTAAAGACACTAGGATTTTCAGCAAAGGCATAATGATGTATTATTGTAGATTCTTCATCATATAATGCTTTTCCTAAGAACCATTCCTGTAAAGAGAGGTGGGACATATATTTTATTCATTCACTACCCTGTTTTAATAAAGGAAACAGATAAAAACAATACTCATGTTGAATAAAATGAACACAAGGGAGAGGGGAAAGTGTATTGTTTATAATGAGACTGGCTAAAATTTCTTTAGTTTGATAATAGTGAAAACTGAGGAGGAGAAAACAGGGGAGGGAGGCAAAATATTTTGAAGATTCACACACAGCATATTTCCAAACCACCAGCTCCCTTTGGTCATGCATCACAGCAACTCCTCCTTCAACTGAGGAGAAATGAATAAATCTAATGCTACTCTGAATGTTGGCTAGAGGGGGCACCATATCCCTAAAAGTTGAATACACATCAAATTTGGAACCCATGTCTGTCCATTTTCAGTTACATTTCCTTAGTGATCTTTGAAGACAAAACGTATTTTGTCCCTTCAAACAATAACTGACTGAAGACGTCCACAGTCTGTTCCAAGATTTATATGGATGAAGCAGGAGAATAAGAAATTATTTGTAACAGGACTTTACAAAAAAGACAGCTCAGGACACAATTTACAACTGTGTAGTGTGTGTCAGGAGATATTTACGAAACTTAAAGGCTGGTATTTTGCTTTACATTAATTCTCAATAGCAAGACTGACTACTCACATGCATAAAGTTAAGCTCACATCTAACTATTTTCAGGGTTGGGACCCTAACAAGCATTTTAAATATAAAACCAACACCTAAGAAAAGAATAGATCAGAATCCAAAAATAAATCCATTTTTCTTTATCTACTCTTAGTTTACACTTTATCTACTATTTTCAATAAATTATTTCTAACATTTTCATATTATGGCAGCATCTAGCAACTCTCATCAAGATCAGGCCCTGCTGATTACAGATAGCCAGGAAATATGTAATCAGAGATGTCACTCAATTTAATCAAACCACCAGAAGCATGTCCTGGGTAGTGTGGGAGAGCTCACTTAGTGATATTATGGCGCAAAATGCAGAGGTCATCTCAAGGAAGGATTGCTGTATATTTTTTATATAAAAGTTCCCTATTGTAATTACGGTATTATTTTTCAGTGTCTGATATTGACATGGCAATGATTTGTGACTGTTAATTTCCTAAACAAATAGATAAAAAATTATCCTTATATCAAATTAAAGCCAAAGCTGGCTGTGAAGAGTTACAAAAAGTTCTCACTAACCTGGATGAGGGGGAAAAAAATAGAAAATAAACAAAAAAAGCAGATAAAATTCAATATTTATATATGCAAAGTAATGCACATTAGAAAACATAATCCTAACAGTACATACCAGATGATGGGGTCTAAATGAGCTGTTACTACTGAAGAAAGATCTTGGTGTCATTGTGGATAGTTCCCTGAAACCATCTACAGGCAGTCCCCGGGTTACATGGATCCGACTTACATCGGATCCCTACTTACAAACAGGGTGAGGCAACCCCGCACTAGCTGCTTCCCCCCAGCAGACCAGGGAGACGTGAAGCTAGCGCCACTCCCCCCTCCCCCCCCAGCAGATCAGGGAGACGCGGAGCGGCTTTTCTCAGCAGACACCTCAGCTTGAGAATAAAGGACTGAGGGAAGTGAGGTATGGGAGAATAAAACTGAGCTCTGGAGAAATGTTTGGCTAGAGTTTCCCCTACAATATGTACCAGTTCCAACTTACATACAAATTCAACTTAAGAACAAACCTACTGTCCCTATCTTGTACGTAACCCGGGGACTGCCTGTACTCAATGTTCAATGGTAGCCAAAAAAGCTAAGTGAATGTTAGGAACCATTAAGAAAAAGATAATAAAACCGGAAATATCATAATGGCACTATATAAATGCCTTCTCATTGAAAAACATGTGCAGTTCTGCTCACCACCTATGGTCACAAATCTATAATATAATGAATGGAATGGATAAAGTGAATAAGGAAGTATTATTTACCCTTCACAAGAACATCTATTAAAACAAGCATATAGAAGTATTTCTTTCCACAACAAAGAGTCAAACTAAGGACTTGTTGCCAGAAGATTCTTGTTTTTTGTAGAAACAGAAAGTGTAAGTGTGCTCAAAAAATAGACAGATACACTCATAGATGATGATTCTGTCAATGGCAATTAGCCAAGATGGTCATGGATAGAATAACAGAACACTAGAACTGGAAGGGATCTTGAGAGGTCATCGAGTCCAGTCCCCTGCCCTCACAGCAGGACCAAGCACTGTCTAGATTATCCCTGATTGGTATCTGAGTAACCTGTTCTTAAATATCTCCAGTGATGGAGATTCACAATCCCCCTTGGCAATTTATTCTCATGCTTAACCACCATGGGCTTTTCTGATGTCTAAACCTCCCTTGCTTCTTGTCCTATCCTCAGAGGCCAAGAGGGATAATTTTTCTCCTTCCTCCTTATAACCCTTTCAGATACTTGAAAACTGCTATCATGTCCTCTCTCAGTCTTCTCTTTTCTAAACTAAACAAGCCCAGTTCTTTAAGTGCTCCCTCATAGCTCATGCTTTAATCATTTTTGTTACTCTTCTCTGGACCGTCTTCAATTTCTCCATATTTTCTTAAAATGTGGTGCCCAGAACTGGACAAAATATTCCAACTGAGGCCTAATCAGTATAGAGTAAAGCGGAAGAATGACTTCTCGTGTCTTGCTCACAACAGTGCTATTAATGCATCCCAGAATCATGTTTGCTTTTTTGCAAGAGTGTCACACTTTGATTCATGATTAACTTGTTGTCCACTATGACCCCTAAATCCCTTTCAGCAGTATTCCTTCCAAGACAATCACTTCCCATTCTCTGTATGTGAAGCAGATTGCTCCTTCCTAAGTGGAGTACTTGGCATTTGTTCTTACCAAAATTCATCCTGTTTACCTCAGACCATTTCTCTAGTTTGTCCAGATTAAGGATGTAATAGTGTAGCTGATGAACCGATTAATCGATACGTAAAAGCTCATAGGTAAATGCTATAGACTACACGCATTTCCCCCCTCCCTCTGCCAGTACATTTTTTAGCAGGCTGGCCAGCAGCCCAGCTCGGTTCTGGCTTGTGCTGGATCCAGGACCTACCCCCACTGAGGCTCTGCATTTAAAGTCTATTAGGAGCCAGGTGGGCAGGCAGCCCAGCTCACTTCCGGCTCGTGCTGGGTCCAGGAGCTCAAACTTCCTCTGCCCCGGACAAGGGTTGGTTTTTAAACCAACTCCCCTTGCGGACCAGCTACCGCCTGGCACCCTGCACTGCTACCTCCGATATGGAGCAAGGGGCTCCTTGGGAGTGAGGCCAGAGCACATTGGCTGCTTGGCCTCGCCCCCAGGGACTACAGAATAGTCAAGTAATCAATAAGAATTCATTAGGTTAATCAACTATTGAATTAACCGATATTTAACATCCTTATTCCAGATCATTTTAACTAATACCATACCTCTTACATTGGGCCTGATGTTGATCTCCTGTGAAACGTCTGAGTAAATGGCCCTTGCAAATTGGTTTGGAACAAAATCTTCCATCCAAGTTAGCAAAATATATGGGATATGCATGTAATCACTCTGCAACCACTACTCCAGCCCATGCACTGTAGTAGCAGATCATATTCTGGAAGAGAATTGGTAGAACCTTATATACCAAAGGAATACAATGAAAACAGTGAACACATTATTAAACTGACAAATCAGATTTAGTACAGAAGGTGGGGTGAGGAGGAGGGAGGGAGGGAGGGAATAGCTATTTATGAGTCAATGAATGGCTAATCAGGAGTGATAAGTGGGGAAGCTACCTTTGTAACGGGTAATGTAATTAGCATCTTTGTTAAGGCCCATTCGTAAAGTGTCAAATTAAAGCATGAATGAAATTTTTGAAGTTTCCCTCTGTAATCTGATATTAAAGTCTCTTTGAAGTAAGATGCATGTAGTAAGGTCGTTAAGACTATGTCCAGGTAGGCTGAAATTAAAAGAAACTGGCTTTTCCTTGTGAAGATGTCTGATGTCTGATTTGTGGGCATTAATTCCTTTGCAAAGTGTCTGAGAAGTCTTTCCAATATACATAGCTGAAGGACACTGTTGGCACGATGGCATGAATTATATTTCTGGATGAACAGGAATATGTATGTGTTCTTGATCATATAACTGACATGGTTAGATCTAGTGATGGTATCACCAGAGTAAATATGTGGACAAAGTTGGCAACAGGGTTTGTTGAAAGGGAAAGTTCCAGGGTTGGTATTAATGTAGTATGTCCTGTGGTTGTTGGTAAGAATCTTCCTGAGGTTAGGTGGTTGTCTATAGGAGACTATGGGTCTGTCCTCCAGAGCCTCTCAGAGTGTAGTATCCTATTCCAGTATAGGTTGTAGGTTATTGATAATGCGTTGGAGGGGTTTAAGTTGGGGGCGATAAGGGATGACAAGTGGTGTTCTATTGTTGGTTTTCTTGGGCCTATCTTGAAGTAGATGGTTTTTGGGTATTTGTCTGGATCTTTCATTTTTTTATTTCCCCCAGTAGGTAATTGAGATTTATAAATGCTTGGTAGAGATCTTGAAGCTTCTGGTCTCTGTCAGTGGGATTAGAGCAGATATGGTTGTATCTAAGGGCTTGACTATAGATGATGGATCGTATGGTGTGTCCTGGATGGAAGCTGGAGGTATGTAGGTAAGTGTAGCAGTCAGTAGGTTTTCTGTAGAGAGTGGTGTTTAAGGAGATAGTATAGTTTCTTTTGGTATTCTGAAGTGGGATACATCAGGCCCTGGTGATTTGAAGATATCTAACTTTTCTAAGTAATTTTTAACTTGGTCTTTTATTTTAACTTCAAAACCTACCCCATTTCCACTAGCACTCACTATTTTAGGCATCCTGTCACCATCCATCTTCTTGACGAAAACAGAAACAAAGTAGTCATTAAGCACCTCTGCCATTTCCAAGTTTCCTGTTGTTTCTCCCTCTTCACTGAGCAATGGGTCTTCCCTGTCCTTGGTCTTCCTCTTGCTGCTAATATACTTGTAGAACATCTTCTTGTTATCCTTTATGCCTCTAGCTAGATTTAGCTCTTTTTGTGCCTTTGCCTTTCTAATCTTGCCCCTGAATACCTGTACTGTTTGCTTGTATTCATCCTTTGTAATATGACCTAGTTTCCACTTTTCATATGACTCCTTTTTTATTTTTAGATCATGTAAGATCTACTGGTTGATCCAAGGTGGTCTCCTGCCACACTTTTCATCTTTCTTATGCAGTGGAATAATTTGCTTTTGGGCCCTTAATAATTTCCCTTTAAAAAACTGCCTACTCTCTTCAGTTGTATTTTCACTTAGTCTCGTTTCCCATGGGACCTTACCTACCAGCTCTCTGAGTTTACTAAAATCTGCCTACCTGAAATCCATTGTCTCTATTTTGCAGTTCTCCCTCAACCGTTAGAATCATGAACTCTATGATGTCCTGGTCACTTTCTCCCAAGCTGCCTTCCACTTTCAACCAGTTCCTTCGTATTTGTTAAAATTAAATCAAGAACACCTTCTCCCTCGTAGCTCTCTCAACCTTCTGAAATTAAAAATGGTCTCCAATGCAGTCCAAGAAATTGTTGGATAATCTGTGCCCTGCTGTGTTAGTTTCCCGACATATGTCTGGATAGCTGAAGTCCCCCATCATCACCAAATCCTGCACTTTAGATGATTTTGTTAGTTGATTAAAAAAAGACTCATCTACCTCTCCTGCCTGGATAGGCAGTCTGTAGTAGACCCCTAGCATGACATCACCCTTATTTTTTATCCCTTTTAATCTAACCCAGAGACTTTCAACAAGTCTGTCTTCTACGTCCATCTCCACCTCTGTCCAAGTGTATTCATTTTTAATATATAAAGCAACACCTCCTCCGTTTTTTCCTTGATTTGTGACCTCATGTTCAAGCTGTCCCTAAATTCCTGATTGCTCAAAGCTCGGAGTGGAGCTTGGTGTTTAGTCCTTCTGAAACATCTGGCATAGGCCACAGTCAGAAGACAGGATGCTTGGTTAGATGAACCATTATTCTGACTCAGCATGGCCATTCTTATTTAATTGTGTATTTTAGTTACATTAAAACAGTCTAGATGAACTACTTCACAGAGTTCTCCTTACTTTATAAAAAGCAGAAAACTAAAACCATTAGTATAAACTTTCATTAGAACAGTGTTTCTCAAATTGGTCTGTGAAACAACTTTGAAAAAGCTGATAATCAGCTGCGCCAGTGTTTTTATTTACCAGCGCTGAGGCCACGGATCCTTGCCACTCCCATCGGCTCCAGTTTGACATTTGCAGTCAAGGGGAGCCGCGGAAAGCTGTGGCCCAGCCCATGCTGCTTCCCATGGCTCCCCTCGGCTGCAAACAGTAAACCAGAGCCAATGGGAGCCACAAGGCTTCATGGCCGTGGCACAAGTAAGAAAGCACAACAGCACTGCCAGTTAGCAGCTTTCTCAAAGTGGTTTCGTGGACCACTTTGAGAAACACATCAACAACAGCAAGTACATTCAAAATGACAGCCGATATTCTAATCTTAAATGTGTTCTGTCATATCTATGTTTTGTAACCTACATTATAGTTTTACAAGGCCACTGACAAAATTATAGTTTTACATTCCTCTTGTAAGTTCAATTGGTTTAATTTTTTTTTGGGGGGCAACAAAGAGAAGTAGACACCACTATAGGAAAATAACGTGTAATAGTATGTTACAGCATATAGCATCTCACAAGTATGAGAACTGAGCAGCAATGCCCGCCGTCTTCCAGGACATAGGTGGCTCCCTGGGTGCTTTGCCAGCAGGCAGCCAGGGCTGCTTCCAGTGGCATGCAGTTTCTGGGTTGGGTCAGAAGCTGGAGCCGAGAGCATTCTCTGAGCTCCAGTGCAGCGCAGGCTGCCGCCTGGCAACCCCCTGCCAGACCCTGCCCCACCATCACGTGACCCTCTTCTGTCCCCCCATGGGACACCTCTGCCATGCGCAACCTAATTCGGCCCACGCCACCTCCTCCTCCTCCATCCCCAGGCAGCTGCTTGGTCTTTGTACAGCGACTGCTGGGCAGGAGGGAGGGCGGCGCTGGGCAGATCCAAGAGTGTGCCCCATGCAGCTGCCTCTTGACTCCAGCTGGATCCGTGTTTGCCCGCAGTGCTATTTTTAATACCATGGTCCCGGTCCCCACAGGCGGCCCTGACTCCAGTTGGAATCAAGCGGCAGCTGCACATGGCATGTTCCAGCTGGGGCAGCCTTACTGCAACGGGCCTTGTGGGGCTGCTGCTTAATTCTAGTTTGATTTAGGCAGTCCCCGGGGACTGAGATCGTGTTATTAAAAATAGCACCACAGGTGACCTCTGCTCCAGTCCCAGCACGCGGTCCCACCCCGGGAGCAGCTGGGCTGGGGGGGCTTCTGGGGCCGGGACGGCAGTACTAAAAATAGCACCATGGCCTTGGCTCCAGCTCATGCAAACTGCTTTCCATGCCGAAGGCAGAAGGTGAGGGTACGGGAAGAGGGAGAACTAAGGGGAAGGGTGGGGGTGAGGAGAGGAAAGGGCTTGTGCTGAGGGGAGAAGGCAGGAGAAAAAAGAGGAAGGCACAAAGGGGGAGGGTGGAGGAGAGACAAATGCCAGGGGGCCAAGAGGAGACAATGAGGGGAAAGGACAGATGAGGGAGGGGAGGGAAGGTATCAGTGTGGATGGGAGAAGGGAGAGGATAGGGTGATGCTGGGAGAGGGGAGGGACAATGAGGGCAAGAGGGAGTAAGAGGAGAGGGGAGGAGTGGGTACTGGGAGAAGAGTGGTTGAAAGGAGGGCTGGGCATGAGGAAGGCAGGGGATGGAGCAAGTCGTGTGAGGGCACAGAGGAGCATGAGAAGAACTAGGGCAGAGGGTGGTAAGGGGGTGGGCACCAGGGAGAAAGAGGGCCAGGGGGCAGGTGTTGGGAAGGAAGGGGCAGTGACGAGAAAGGGGCAGTGAGGGAAGGGGGAAACACCAGGAAGGGGCAGGGATAAGGGAAGGTGAAGGTTCCAGTGGCATTGTGGGGGTGAAGCAGAACATGTGGAGGGTAGGGACAGGCACCAAAGGAGAGAGACAGGGCAGGTGCAGAGAGGGAGGTGTTAGGAGAGGGGATTGGGAAGGGTAGCTACAGATGATCAAAGTGGGGCTAGAGGAGGACTGAGCACAGGGGAAGAAAAGTGCTGATGCAGTGCTCAAAGAAGATGGGGAGGAGGCAGGTCCACAAAAGGCTAAGGGGAGTGAGACCGGCAGGAGCCAAGTCAGCAGAGGAGGGTGAGAGGTGGGCAGCAGCAGCAAGCTCCAGGGGAGGGTGGGAGACATGACAGGAGAGGGAAAAGGAAGAGGTTTATAAAATATTTATCAATAACTTGGGTGCCATGGTGGCACACATCTGAACAAGTGCACGTGAATTCAATAGTGATGCACAAGACAAAACTCACTCCGCTCATGGGTGGAAAATCTTAAGAGGGAACACTGTCCCCAGCCTCTCCCCTGGAGTTAATGCAATGCAAGTTGGGTTAATGCAATTGCAGGCTAGTTGCATGGGGGGATCCTGTGGGGGCCAAACCCATCCTTATTGGTAGAGGACAGTGGGAGGAGTTCTTATAGGGGTCACATGACACACTTTACTTCCAATCATGTGTCTATCTTGATCCCTGGAGTACTACCTCCAGAGGTGGGATTTCTTGTGGCAGGGGGCGTGGCTAACAGAGATCGGGGCATGGCTAACGTGTCCCTAATTTTGGTTCAGAGAATATGGTCACCATATCTATAATGAAATCCTTTATAATAAGAAACAGACATTATACATTTTAAAAATAACATTCTATACTTATAATTTAGTATTTTTAATCAAGTATTTGAATTAGTTTTCCAGTGGTTTTATCCAATATAAAAATCTCTTTGAAGCACATTCAAAAGATGAGACCTTTAATGATTTTGTATTTCACCTTAGACTTGTCAAATCTTCTTAGTGTTTCCAGAAGCTTTACAATTTGTATTCTTGTATCTTCTTCACAGAAGAAAATCCATGAGGAGTTTCTACCATAGGAAGCAGAGAAACTAACAAAAGAAAGAGCTTGGTTTACTACAAGATTGACTTGGGGGTGGGGTTACAACCTTAACCTAAAAGAAACAAATAAAAAGTCCTTCAAGACAAGCACCTATAGCCTATGAGCTTGAAAACAATTAGTACTAATGCAGGATCACATACCAAAACCCATATGAAGTTCAAGGTAGAAAATGTCTACTTAAGGGAAATTTACAGACCCAGAATCTACACAGGGAGGAATGTGGATGTGCAGAGTATGTAAATTCAGAGTTCTCCAGGTACTTCAAATCGCCTTTAATTTTCTTCCGCAGAACTCCCTCACTGGAGGTCTATCAATCAGAGCAAATAACCTTAGAAGTAAGACTGGTTGGTACAATATCCTGTCCTGCACTGACTATACACTAGGCCCTGAATCTAATTGTGTTTGGGTTCCTTAACTCGGTTTTAAACTGCACCGATTGAAGGGGTTTCCTCTCACTGAATTTCAGTTAGGCAGGGAACAACTAATCTCAGTGCAAAATTCTCAGCCCCTCTAGGAGTACCTTTCCCATTTTTCTCTCAGCCAAATTCTTCCATATCTAAAATATCTATTAGCCAAATTATGCCTCCCTGTGCTCCTAAAGGTGTTTTTTCTTGTCCTTCCTTTGGGGGGCAGAGGAGTGCCTTCTGGATAACATCAGTGTTGGTTTAAGTAACAGAAAACAATTAACTCTTGTGAGAAACACAAACATTTCTTCTGTACAGCAATTCCTATGGAAAAACCAGGGTGAAAACAGATGACAGGACACAAGAAGTGAATACATATAAGCAGACTGGGGAGATTTGCATTTCCAAAACAGCCCACTAAGGAAATCTGCCCTGAACACCTACCCACCAAACATCTCCTTGGGCAATATCTGCATGCTCCGTGAGTAGCTCCTAGAGAATGTATGTAGGGAGCATGAGATAGATGCTTGATGGATCTCAAGTAAAGATATTTCAACCTGAAACTTGGCACCTTCCTGTGCAGAGACCTTCTAGTATCAGTTTGAAAATGGACTTAACGTCCTTGTATGTCTCCTGCCCGTGAGACCAAATGTATTTAAGTATAAAAAAACCTAAAGGCCTTATGGACCATTTCGAGCCCTCATGCAGAGAAAAATATATTTATTACAACCCCCATCACTTTGAAATCTAATTATGTAACAAATAAATCTTAATTGAGATATTCAGGCTAAGAATATAAATGAGTAGCCGACTAATCAACTATCCGATAAACAGGAGCTTATCAGGTAGCGTTACTAACTACCCGCTCATCTCCCCTCCCTCCCCCAAGCTACGGCGCAAGAGGACACTGGCTGAATCCCTGGTCTCAGTACACCTCCATTCTCTGCTGCTGGGCACTATTAAAGGGACAGAGAAGCCAGCGCAAGGGGATGCTGGATGACTCCCTGGTCCCACAGGTCTCAGCACAACCACTCCCTGCTGCCAGCTTCCCTGTTCCTTTAATAATATAGAGCGGCAGTGGTGGGGGAGGAAGGATTGTGCTGAGACCCGGGTGTAATGGACAGGAGGAGTGCTGACTAACACCCAATGACTGAGGGGTTAAACTCAGGTAGCTAGGAGAGGTGTTGGCCAGGGGGCTGGGAGAACCAATTGAGACAGAGTGTTGAAATCTGAATTGGATATAGATTCCTCGCCTGCTTTCTTTGTGTGGGAGAGAAAAACCAGGAGTTGAGAGACATAGTCACAGGACTACCATATCTCCAAGGAATTTGGGGCATGGGAGTGGATTGAACAAAGAGAAAATTGGAAGTAAATAAGGGGGAAAAGATAATCTAGTTGTGCTCAGGGTAATTTTTCTTTATTTTGTGGTTTGATTTGAACTGCTCCATGTGAATCTATGCCTCCCTCCCCATTTACCATCTAGCATTGTGCACAGAGACTTTTCTCTGTGTTTTAATTTGTTTTCCTTAGTTGCTCTGTAACATCTAGCAACCAAGTATGCTTTATCAAGTTTATCTTTTTTTTTGTAATAAAAAATCACTTTGTTAAGGTGATGATTTGATTCTTATGTCCTAGAAAGTCTGTCTGTGTGTATCTGCATGCCTCAGACTGGGAGATCAGCTACCAGAGACTGGAGCTTGTTTTTCCTCTCTTCTTTTGTCAAGCTCTTTTGGGGCCAGAGAGCTTGAGGTACCCCTGGGGCTGGGTTTAAGCTTTTTTGAGGACCCTCACCTTCTGCACTTGGAGTGCCAGAGTGGGGAACAGCCTTGACACCCAGGACCTGGGAGTCAGCCAGCATCCTCTCATGCTGGTTTCCCTGTCCCTTTAATAGTACACAGCGGCACTGGGGGTGTTGTGCTGAGACCCAATATGAGCTGAAAGTGAGTGCTGAAACTGCCCTTTCTTATTGACTCAGAGCACTCAATGGAAATTTCATCAACTACTCAATTAGCCAATTAATCGCTATTTAACAAAACCAAAAACCTGCTCCCCTTCTGCCTGCAGCTGTACCATTCAGCAAGGAAAAATAAACTTACCAATCTTATGAGGTTCCTTGAAATGTGTGGTTCCTATCTATAAAGCCCTGCAAATCTGTGAATATCCACCGATATGGATGCAGATATGCGTGGCTCATTTTTGCAGATATGGAGGTGAATGCAGATACAAATTTTGTATGTAAACCCTGCAAATTTGTTGATATCCATTTTATATCCATGGTTCATTTTTGCGGATATGGATGCGGATACAGATACAAATTTTGTATCCACACGGGCTCTGCCTATCTGAATAACATTATAGGCATTCGTTCCAAGCAACCAGAGTTGCAGAATTCTTGCAAGCAGTATCTCTTGGTCTATGTGTGTACCCTTCCTTTTCTTGTGTTTACAAAGACATAAAAGGCAGCACGAGTTGGATTCACCTCTCTTCAGTTCCTTCGCTACAGTAAATCCAATTAAGATCTGAAGCAGAGTGAAAAGGGGCCAGATGGTAGTAGAATATAGTAGGGACTATACATCTCAAAGAAACCTCCATTATCAGAAGCTAAACAACATCCTTCTCTGAGTACTGGACACTATAAATATTCCAACATGGGTGAATAACAAGCAATACTCAAAGAGGGTGCAAAGATGTAGATAACAGAGCTATTTGAAGGACTGCTCTCCCAAAGAATGCATCAGCAGAGTAGTATGGCAGAAAAAAATAATGTCTCATGTATGTGTAACGGAACTCCATATAGATGCTTTGAGAACGTCCATGTAAGAGTATTTCCTGAAGGGATACCACTGAAGCTGCTTCCAATTTTGTAGAATGAGCTCTCAACCCATGCAAAGAGGAAGATACAGGTTGAACCTCCCCAGTGTGGCACTCTCAGGACCTAACTGGTCCCAAAGGAGGGAGTTTGCTGGCCCATTGATGTTGCCGAACCAGAGAGTCCTGGACCAGAAAGGTTCAACCTGTAATACAAATGACAACAAAGCAGAACACAGTCCAAGATCCATTTACAGATGCTTTGGAGGGAAACAGGTTGATCTTGGCTCGTTTTGTTACAGTGAGAAACAATCTAGGTAATTTTCTAATTGGTTTTGTTCTTTTCAGGCAGAAGGTGACAACATCATATACACCAAGGGAATGAAGTCTCCTCTTTCCCCTTGCATGCTGTTTCAGGAAAAACACAGCTAAGCACACTGATTTGTTTATGTGAAACTCTGAAACTACTTTGGGGTTGTGTGAATTTAAGATGTAACTGTAAAGATACTTTGTACTTATGGAATAAAATGTATGGTGCATCAACCACCTTCGTTCCCAGCACACCTTTGCTACTGGTAGAGGTGGTGATCATAAGGAATGAAACTTATTATTTAAAGTTAGGCGTGGAACATGCAGCTAATGGTTTCAAAGGAGACTTGGTGAGTGCGGAAAGAACAAGGTGTAAGTCCCATTGAGAACTACATTGCCTTGCTGCTGGGAAAGTCTTAAAAGACCCTGATCAGAAATCTGTTAGTCATCAGGAGGTGAAAATTGAATAATGTCTGATTGTGTATGGCATGCCCTGATTATTGCCCTGTGGACTCATACAAAACTGAGGGAAAGTCCAGCTGTTTTGAGAGAAAAGAAAGGTAGTCTAAAATGATGGGAATATCTGCTGACTCAGTATGACAACTGAGATGTATGTTTCTGCAGCAATCAAATGAAGAACCACTTCTACTTGGCTGAACAACTTATGCAAGTGGAATGTTTTCTGCTATTAAGGATGGCTTATACAGCTTCAGAGCGGGAATGTTCTACTGTTGAAGCCTATCAAAAAAAACCACAAGACACGAGATTAAGTTCTTCAGAGTTAAGATGCTTGACTTTAACCTTTTCCTGGGTCAAGAGATTGGGAAAGGACCACACACTAATTGGAGGACATTTGGGAAACTAACATTATCTGGATCAGTGGAGGGAGGAGGAGGGGGCAATGAGGATGACTTGTGCCCTGTCTTGACATATTTTCTGTAATACTCAAGGTAGGAGTGATAAAGAAGGAGAGGCTTAGCTCAGATGTTCTAACCAGGGGAGAAGGAGAGCATAAATGAGATTGTAATCTTAGAGGTCCTCTGGAACAGTATATGTTGTATTTCTTGTTCATTTGGTAGGCAAAGAGATGCCAGGTGGGAGGTCCCTCCGTAAGTAAAGACGCTGCTCTTCACTAGTGAATCATCCAATTCCCACTCATGATCGATGGCCAAATGCTCACTGAGGACATCCACCAATGCATTTGGAGTTCCTGGAAACTAAGATGCCAACACAAGTGATTCAATTTCTGATCCACACATTCTATATAGTGTTTTCTTTTACACACAGGGGAATAGAGCTCGCCCCTTCCTGATTGTTGATTTAAGACGATTGTCATACTGTCTGACATTATGAGGATGTGGTCGGACCAGAAAAACTGCAGAAACACTTTGCAAGCATCTCAAATTTTCCAATGTTCCCAAAGGTTGATGTATTTTGTAGCCTCATGGGGTGGCCAAGTGTCCTATGCTGTCTGACTGTCCATGGGGGCTCCCAGTCTGAGAGAGTGGAGTCTGTAACAACCATCTTGCCTGGCGAGAATAGTAGGAAGGTGAAACCATACGTTCCTAATGGGAATCCTACCACCACAGTAGAAAATATGTTATCCTGGAAGGAATTGTTACCTTAGTAATCTATCAGGTCATTCAGGGTATGAAACCTGTCCTGTGGTACAGAAGTTCTTGTTCTGACTGAATCTGAGGTGGCCTCTACAAAGTCTATAGTCTGCATCAGAGTGAGAACAAACTTTCCCAAGTTCACACTGATTCTTAGTGAAGAAAGTAGTTGAAGAATTAATTAGGTCAACTCATAGGCTTCCTGATGTGTCCTAGGATTGAGAAGCCAATTATCGAGATAGGGACAGTGAAGTTGTTCCATCTGAAATGCATTGCTACTACCAGAAAGACTGGACCCAATGGTGAGTACGAATGTACTGGACCCACAATGAATAGAAGACAAAACACCTATGGGCAAAGAATTCATGTGAAAGTAAGTATCCTCCATATCGAGAGCTGTAAACCAAATGTCTTTTTCAAGGCAGACATTATTGAAACCGGAGTGACCATGCAAAGTTTCAGCTTGAGAATTAAGTGACTGAAAAAAAATTGAGTATAGATGTCCACCCTTCTTAATGGGGACTAGGAAGTACAGAGAGTACCAAATCTTTTCCTTGTCGTTGAAGACTTATGTGCTCTACTGATCTTCGCTCAGAAGGGATTCAACTTCCTGCCTGAGAATCTCCTTGTGAGAATGGTCCCTGAAGAAGGGCAGCAATGGAAGTTTTGAAAGACACAGGGATATAAACTTGATCATATAGCCAAACTATCAGAAAAGCATAGATGATACTAATACCCACTTGTCCATTATGGCACTCAAGTTGTGCAAAGAGTGCTAACTGACCCCCAAAAGGTATGTATCGGGTAATGTTGGCATTGTTAGTAGCTGGTAGCTCTTGAATGTCTATTAAAAATATCTAGGGGATGAAATGAGATGGTGCAGTAGACATAGGAGGTGCAAGAAATGAGACTTTTGTATTGCCTGCTTATAAGAAGGATTATAAAATCACCGCTGATAACACTGTTGAAATGATGGTATACTAAGGATACTATTAATGCTTCCTTTTTGGAGCAGGTGTCTCAAAGAACAGCAGTTATGAGAAAGTGAGTAACTGTTTTTTCTTCTTTGAGTGCTTGCTCATATCAATTACAGTTAGGTGACTCCCAAGCCTTTCCTAGGTGGTGGGATTAGAGTCAAGGAATTGCAGACTGTAGCACCGCTCTGCCAAAGGTCATGTCAACTCTGGCTTGATGAATGATGGGAAAGTGTGATGTATACGTGTGCACAGAATACCATGCCACTGCTCTGCTTGAAGTGGCACCTGAGCCAGGAATGCAGTTGACAAGGCCTGGGCCCTTGTGGAGTGCTTCGTGATGTTCAGCGAAAAATCTTTGGCTAGATGATAGCATGTGCGGATGCAAGTAATGATCCAAGAGGAAATGCAATGTGAAGAGACTGAGAGCTCTTTCATGTGTTCAGTCACTGCCACAAATAGCTGTGTTGACTTCCTAAAAGACTGTGGGTGCTCAATGTAGCCAGCGAGTGCTCTTCTGACATCCAGGGAATGTAGCCTTTGTTCCTGTGGGCTGTTGTGAAGCTTCAGATAAAAGATGGGCAGGAAAATGTCCTGACTTTTATGGAAAGGGTGGGATCTAAGTTAGATTTTATCTTTATGGAAGACGGTGTAAAGGGCTCCAATGTCTGCACCTGCAGATCCGATACATGTTGAGCAGAGGTGATAATCACTAGAAAGGCCACTTTCCACAACAGGTATAAGAGGAAACAGGTTGCTAAGGGCTCAAAGGGGGGGGGGGGGTCCCATGAGGTAGGAAATGACTGGGTTAATGTCCCACATCAGGATAGGTTGCTCATGTGGAGGGGTGTTGCCTTTCCAGGCCTTTCAGGAAGCGTCTGGTGATGGGACTGTTTATCGCTGAACAACCAGACTCGCTTGGGTGGAAAGCCAAAATGACCAACCCAGCAGCACCCAAGCTGCTCTGCCCCAGGCGTCCTGATTCAGCCGCTGGGCAGCTGGGGTGCTGCCGGGTTGGTCCAGTAGCGCCCAGAGCGGCGCTACAACTTCAGAAGATTCTGCTTCCATTAGCTACAAAACGGGCAAGATAAGCTCTTGGTCATTCAGTGCTTTATTTATATGTTGGGATGGAACCACAGTGAGTACAGGCAGTCCCCGAGTTACGCGGATCCGACTTATGTCGGATCCGCAGTTACGAACGGGGCCCTCCCTCTCCCTGGTCTCCAGCAGACCAGGGACGGGGAGCAAAGCAGAGCAAAGCCGCAGAGCACACGGGCAGCTGACAGCCCAGACGCGTCTGGGCTGTCCGCTGCCCGCGTGTTCCGCCACTTTGCTTCCTCTCCCTGGTCTGCTGGAGACCAGGGAGAGGGAGGGCTCCGTTCGTAACTGCAGATCCGACATAAGTCGGATCCGCATAACTCGGGGACTGCCTATACCTCTCTGACTTGCTCCATGAAGATGAGCTCTTACCATTTTAGTTGTTTAATTATAAAGTTTGCTTAAAAATCAACCCAAGTTTCTCTATGAGTGTTTACTTAAAAGCAAATCAAAACTGGCATAATTTTTATATGGCAATTTTCCAGCAAGATATCCCAATTCTTGGTCAGCAATGAGTGATGGAGAATATAATGTTCTCTATCAAGTAAACTACACTACATAAAAAAACAACAGGACATCAGGGGTCCTATACTGGTTAGCATGTTCTGGTTCACAATCAAATGACTGGATAGTTAGGCAAGAACCCCTTCTATAGCCATTGCAGACTCCTTAGCTGGCAAATTGTCTAAAGGAATACATTTTCTGCACTGGTTACCAGTTCACCTCCAGGTGAAATTCTAATTGCTAGGTTACTATCTGCAGAGCCCTTCATGACGCAGGTACCATTTATTTCATTATTTATGATTGCCTGTCTCAAGTAGAGCAATCATAGAGACATTCGCCTTTAAATTTACTCCCACTACAACAGTTTGAACAGAGTCCGGCTGCTTTGGATTATATTTTATAGATCTTTGTTGAGATTATCCCATAAAACCAGACTTGGAATCCTCTAAGATTTAGCCTGTCAGCTGAGTTTCCCCATCTCTGACTCCTTCAAAGAAATTAGTTTTCCCCTTTACATTATATCCCCAACATATGCATCCCCAACTTTAGGAAAATAGCATCTAGATCCTAAGATAAGAGGTGCATATAAACAAAAGAGATCTCCCATCTCAATTTTAATGCAGTACCACACAATGTGGCATGGTCCAAACTTATACCTTTGGGTACGTCTAGACTACATGCCTCTGTCACCAGAGGCATGTAGATTAGGCTACCAGACAAAGTAAAATGAAGCGGGGATTTAAATAATCGCCGCTTCATTTAAATTTACATGGCTGCCGACAAACAGCTGATCAGCTGTTTGTCAGCTCAACGTGATAGTCTGGATGCGCGGGTGTCGACATCAAAGGTATTTGTCGACCACCCAGGTAAGCCTCCTGGGATGAGGTTTACCTGGGTGGTCGACAAATACACAGCCGATCAGCTGTTTGTCGGCTCAGCGCGGCAGCCATGTAAATTTAATGAAGCGGCGATTATTTAAATCGCCGCTTCATTTTACTATGTTTGGTAGCCTAATCTACATGCCTCTGGCGACAGAGGCGTGTAGTCTAGACGTACCCTTTGTTGGGGTTTGTCTTCTTTAATTAACTTATGTTCCCCAGGACAGGACTTGTCTACAAATAAAAACTTTACCCTGGGTCTACTGTTCAGCTGAACGCTATTAAGGTGATGTCCTTCATGGAAAAACGTGTCACCCTAGCTTTCTTACCTCAGATTAACTGTCATACTTCTAGTGAGTAAGAACAAATGAGACCCACCTGGTTTAGATACCTGGATAAATCAACTGAATCACAAAGTACCACCACATAGTATCTGATACTCTGCCACCTGCCCTAGAGTACTGTACATAAAACTATGTACTATGCATTAAACAATTATACAACCAATTTGTATCAGATTTATCTTTGTGATCTACCACTATTACAACCCCTTCCATATTAACAGTGTCATTATTTGCATAAATACAGTTAGCATGCAACATGTAAAGTAAAAGAAGTTTTGACCTGCCACAAAAGGTAAATTTGAAATTGACCAGATGAGGTAACGAAAGTTAAAGAAGTACTTCATCTGAAGGAGAGCCATATTAAAACCAAAATATTTGTTTTAGCAAACAAAAGTAATTTAGAACACAGAGCTTACAAACATCAGAATAAAATAATATTCCTTTTGAGATACTTCACTTTTTCTCGTAATTCATTCAGTAATACTGATACTGACCAAAAAGAGTGAGAAAATACAAAGTGAATGTAAAAACTCCATCCTTATATCATTGCTACCAAACAAAAGAGATTTATAGGTGTTGATGTTTTTATTTACACAAAAGCATTAAAGCATATCAACAATTTGTACAAAATTTTAAACTTACTCTGGCATTAATGGCAGTATGGTCCATGCACCATCATGTCTGTCCATCTGATGAATAAGCAGAACTCTAGGTAATTCCTTTGAGAAAACCAAAAATAGTCTGATGAGATAAGAAAGCATTTTACATGACAAAATTTTCTTAAATAGCTAATTAATTTTAGAACTAAATTCTTGTGAAAGACTATTTCACTCTTATTTTCACAGAACTCAGTAGCAAACTGGATTGTAGACAAAAAGATACTAAAGCTGTATCAGAGGGATATAATTTAGCTCCCTCTCCAAGAATTTGTGCAATTTCTTGTTTTCTAAAACCTCTCTCAAGTATAAAACGAATGCCCTTCCCATTTAAGTGAAACTTTATAAATATCCTGGTAAATCACTTTGGTTATAGCACTTCTGGAATAATATAATGTTCATCTTGTAAAGAGAGAGTTTATAAAGGAAAGTGTAGTGTGCAAACTCTTCTAATAAATCATATATAAATTATGTTAACCAGAAACACTTAGTTAATTCTGTAGAGCTAATTTATCATTTAACAAAGGACTATAACAAATTAAGAGGAGAACGATCTCTGGCTGCGTTTACAGGCTCTGGGGCGGAGCACAGGAGGGGGCTCCTGGGCCAGGTGGGGCTTAGGGCTGGGACAAACGGTTGTGGTGTGAGATGGGATGCAGGCTCTGGGGTGGCGCCAGGAGTGGAGCAGCTCCCCACTCGCAGTGCAGTGGGCCCAGCCAGGCTAGACAGGGTTGGGTCTGCCACGCCACACAGCACCGGGGTGTTGGTTCAGCCCAGCTGGAGTGCCCTCCCCTTGCGGTGGGGTGGACCCAGCCAGGTTGGAGCAGCCCCTGGCCCGTGGCACAGAGCAGGGAGGAGGCTGTCCGGTTGGGCCAGGCTTACAGCACTGTGCCATGATTGGGAGTTGCTCTGGCCCAGTCTGGTTGGACTGCCCACCCCCCCATCTGCAGCACGGCATGTCTGGCTAGGCTGCTCCAACTAGGCTGGGCACCGGTTAACCAATTACCCTGGTAAGGGTACTGATAAGACAATTACCAGGCCATCAGTTACCCCTTTATATTCCTATTAACAGGGACCATTAGCAGAAAGAGAATACTCTGAAGTGATAAACAAAAGGATATCGGCACTGAGAGCAGCTGCAAATAGTTTTACCGTTATATCACAATGTTCAGAAAAGTGGATCATTGTTTTGCAAGCTGAAGAGAGGGTAGCATACTGCATGCTGTACAGGCAAGCCCTGGGGTTAAGTGAATTAGAAATGTAGCCAGTAATCGAACCTCTGGAAACAGTGGAGCGCTGGTTCTGGTGCCATTAGACAAGCACAGACTGGTGGGACTGCCTAGTGAGGCAGAGATGGGATGATCAGTAGTGGCTGCAAAACTTTCCAATGTGGAAGGCCACTTTCATGGAACTTTGTAAATGGCTTTTCCTTGCCCTGAAAGACAGTGGAGAAGCACATAGCAATTGCCCCATGGAAATGTGCAGTGCCAAAAAGATACTCATCAGTTGGGAATCAATTTGGAGTGGGGAAATCTATGATGAGGGCTCCTGTTATACACACAGCCAAAGCAATCAATACCATTCTGCTATGGAGAGAAGTGACTCTGAGAAATGTAGACACCATAGGGGACGGTTTTGCTGCAATGGGGTTCCCAACTTCAGGGGGCAACAGACAGAGCGCACATCCTCATCTTGGTCCCTGACCACCTTACCAAGTAGTACATCAATCACAAAGGGTACTTCATCGTGCTGCCGGCGCTGGTGGACCATAAGAACTGTTGCACCAACATTAGCATGGAACGGTGCATGACGTGCAAATCTTTAGGAACTCCTGCCTCTTCAGAAAGATGCACACCAGAACTTTTTTCCCAGACCAGAAAATTAGAATCAAAGATGTGGAAATGCCCACAGTGATCCTTCATGACCCAACATAATGCTTGCTCCCATGGCTCATGAAGCCACATGTGGGCAGCCTGGACCACAGTAAGGAACAGTTAAATTACAGGCTGAGCAAGTGCAGAATGGTGGTTGAATGTGCTTTTGGGTTTTTAAAGGGAAGGTATAGGAGTCCAGTGATTAGGTTAGACCTCAGCGAATGCAACATTCCTTTTGTGGTGGAAGCCTGCTATGTGCTCCATAATACTTGAGAGAGCAAGGGGAAAGTTATCTGGCAGGGTGGGAGGAGCTGAGGCACAGTGCCTAGCCAGAGATTTTGAGCAGCCAAATACCAGGATGATAAGAAAAGCACAGTGAGGAGCAGTGAAAATCAAAGAGGCTTTGAAAGCAAGTTTTGTGAATGGCCAGTTTTGGGAGTCATGGATGTGTCTCTCAAGAAAGTTCCCTGCATTCAGTATGTTTGTCTGTAATTCCCATCCCACCCAAGCAATAGAGAGTGCTATTCAAGGATCATGCATTTGTATTTAGGGAAGATAGCAGGGACAGAAAAAAGTCCATGGTGGGTCCCAAAGGGGGGTGATCAGCAATGCAAGGAGGACAGCTTTTGCCTCCCAAGGCTCTAGAGCCATGGTGTCCAACATGCTAGTCACTAGTAACATGTGGCTATCTGGCTAGTGAGTGTGGCTAGCTCTCTACAACAGTAGCCACTATTGGACACCACAGCCCTAGAAGCTGAGTGTAAGGCTGCCCTGAGTTCCCACTTCCCATGTCTTGGGGAACCTGGGGTGGAGGCTATGGAACTGGGTAAGGAAGGAAAGTTGTTCTGCATGGAGTGGAAGATGAGGTGTCCCTTCCGGAGTTCTCTGCCAGGTGCTCCATCACAGCAGTCAGGGATGAAAAGATATTCAACTGTTGCTTCAAGATATTCTCGTTATGCTTCACTTGTAATTCCCTGAACATATTCTTGTCCTGCCACTCTGCCCACATCTCCTCTAGAAACCTATGCCTCCATGCCAGCTGCTCCTTAAATAATGCTTTCTCTTGTCTGTTTTCGCCTGTGGATTTGTGCAAAACGGACAAGCTTCTGGATCTGGGAGAGTATGCAGCAAGATGCCTGCTGTTTCCACTGTAATGAAAAGTTACAAAGGCACCCATTACAGGAGATACTCTGGGGAGTCTAAAACCTAATCTGTTAGCATACAGCAAACATTTCTCTAAAGACAATGGAGATGTGCTCTGTGCAAGGCTAAAATTATACTTTAAAGTGGCCATTGTACAGCAGGAACACAACAGAGATATCAAGGGAACATCTGGACTCATGCTGTATGGAGGTAGGCATGGTAAGGGGCCTGCCAGGGCACGATCCTGTGGGCAGGAAGAGAGACAGAGGGGGCATGATGGTGGCTCACTCCTTCCTTCCTCTGTGTTCACCACACTCCTCTTCCTGGGACAGTGCTACTTTTCCATCCATGGGATCTTGCGGGTAGGAGGGAGGGTGGGATGGTGTCTGGTCATGCCATCAGGGCAGAGCGATGTCTTTATGGCTTTCCTCCCTGTATCCATCACACCCTGCTTCCCAGGAGAATGCTATTTACCCATCTCACAGGAGGGAGTAGGCGTTGCCAGGGGCTGAAGCCATCGTAGCAGCAGAGGCATCAGCTAATAGCATCCCCTCCTCCTTCATTTAAGTTGCCATGCAAGATATCAGTCTTCTCTGAAATACACAGAGTGATAGGGAGCTGATGCTGACTGAATGTGGCCAGGTGCTGCAATGACATCAGACCACTTATTGCTGATTTAGCGTGTCCTATCATGGAGGGCAGAGTAAGGCAGACAGTCCCCAGAAGTCTTGTGAGAAGGATCAAAGAATTCCTATCAGAGAGCATCAGAGATATTCAGAGAGGATTCCTATTCCATCTCCAGACACATTGTCAAGCTATTCCGGGCCACCCACACTGTGTAGGCACAAGTACACCGCACATCAAACCCAATTGCCTTAATCCACTTGTAGCAAGAAAAAAATTGTGAACTCACCAGAAGTGCCCTCCCCTGGATCAGTGCTCAACTATAAGTCATCCTAGGAGGAAGGGATTGGCCCCAAAGTGAAGAAAAATTCTTGGTTCTTGCTGCTCGCCAGCTGGCCATTTTCCTCATCCTCTTCCCCTGACCCCTCCTCACCCTCCACCACTATGCTGTCCTCCATGCTGCTGCCCTCAGTGTCTTGGAAAGACTACATGGTCTGCCTTGTGAAACCGATCAGGTGACCCCCTAGGATTGCTTGCTGCTGGTCACAGAAACACACCAGACCATTGATTTGCCTCTTGTCTTGTGATAGGATTGCCTCAGCTCCTTTATTTTAACACAGTACTGGTGGTGGTCCCTGGAGTACCCTTTTGCCACCATACACTTTTCTGTATTTGCATATGTTGGCCACACAAGAAATGAAATTCAATTTTTCCCCAGGCTTTTCCTGTTCACCAGGAGAGCAGTAGAGGCGCAAGTACTGGCCATAGCAGAGATCAGGAACCTTGACTTCCTCAACAATGAATGTAGAATCCCATGAATTAGGTCATGCAAGGTCAAAATTTGCTTTACTCTTTGTGAAAAGCAGGAGCATCAAAATCAACTTCAGCAGCCCTTAATGTCAACAAGAAGGGGTGTGGTAATGTGAACTCACTATTTAGAAAATTGCCCTTATGCAGCTAAATTCAACCTAAACTCTAGCATAGACCAGGCCTGAGACTGAAACACAATTAGAGGACTTCAGCAACTAAAGAAGTATTTTATTATTTAACAGTCAGACATACAGGGGCACGCTTTTCCTGAAAATAATGCCCCCCCTCTACTATTAAAACTGCTAAAAAGCAAAAATGTCTAGCATCTTAAAAATACATTTTTACCAGCATTGTCACCTTTGGTATTGAAAAACTGCACTAAAGAACTGATGAAACAATGCAAATTGCAGTGACATCTTGAAACTAGACATCCTGAGCATAAAAATAAAAATATGGCTTTTCTGAAATGCAGAGAAGCAACAAAGAAAGCCAGGCTTGATGCAGATGGAAGTTTGACAGCAGCCATCATCAGTTGTGGAGAGGCCTTTTATGTTATGTCACTACGAATTGTACCAAAAAGATACATAAAGTGAGGGGTTTGTTCTGCTAGTGTGCAAAGATACTGTGTCTATTGTGTTTGGCATCAATACTGCCAAAAAGCTTAATATACTTTCTATGTCAAATGATACTGCGAAATGCAGAATATGTACGATGTCTGAAGATATCAAAGAACAAGTTGTGCATGACATTAAACATCCTGCTTTCAGGACGTTCACCCTGCAACTTGATGAAACTGCTGTTACCAATTGTGCACAATTGATAATATTCATAAGCAGGGCTTGACAAATGGCAGTAAAACCTACTCACTAGCCCCGCACTGCGCATGCGCAAGACCCGCATTGCGCATGTGTGCGCTGCCGGTGAACGGGGCGACCGGCTGAAATCTACTCACCACAGGCAAGTAGATTCAGTGATTTGTCGAGCCCTGTTCATAAGCATGTTAATACCAGGGATATTAAACATGAGTTCTTATTCTGTGAACAACTTGAAACAATCAAAATAGCACAAGACATTTTCAATAAGGTGAATTCCTTTTTTGAAAGCAATGGCCTTGAGTGGAAAAACTGTGCCTCTCAACCATGGTGGGTACATGGTCTGGTTTTCAACACAAGGTAAAGCATATGTCACCCAGTATACTGTCACTCACTGCGGAGTCCATCATCAAATCCTAGCTGCAAAGACACTGATAATGGGATAAGAGGGAAGGTGCTCTCAGGGACTGGTAGCTGGTTAAAAGACAGGACGACGAGAGAGATAACTAGTGGCATCCCCATGGGTGCCCGATATAAAAGGCAGGGGAAGGCACTACCTTCCCAAATTGTCAGCCTGGCCCTGCCCACACTCCGCCCCTAGAACATCTATTGTAGGTGTTCTGGGGACAGAGTGTTGCTGCCCCCAGGGCCCTGGATGAGCCCTTGTTAGAGGCGTACCTGAGAAAGGATGTGTGAATTTACACAAGACTCTGACTCAACTGGAAGACTGAGTAGCTGCAAGGCTTTTAAAAGACTGAGGCAGTGAAGGAATGTGAACATGGCGAACAGGGGCGCTTGTGGGAGGTGAGTGCCACCTTGTTACAGGAAGGAACAATGTTTCGTACTAAGTGGAAGTATTTTGCATTTGTCCTTATTAAATTTCATCCTATTAACCTCAGACCATTTCTCCAGTTTGTCCAGATCATTGTGGATTATGACTCTATCCCTCCAAAGCACTTGCAACCTCTCCCAGATTGGTATCCTCTGCAAAATTAACAAGCATACTTTCTATGTCAATATCTAAATTGTTGATGAACTGGTCCCAAAACTAACCCCTGCAGAACCCCACTTGTTATGCCTTTCCAACATGATTGATAACTACACTATGAGAATGGTTATCCAGCCAGTTATGCACCCACCTTATAGTAGCCCCATCTAAGTAGTATTTGCCTAGTTTATTGATAAGAAGATCAAGCAATAACACATCAAATGCTTTACTAAAGTCTAGGTATACCATCTTCCCCATTTCCCTCTTATCCACAAGGCTTGTTATCCTATCAAAGAAAGCTATCCAATCAGTTTGATATGATTTGTCCTTTACAAATCCATGCTGGCTGTTACCTATCACCTTATTATCTTCCCACTGTTTGCAGATTAATTCCTTAATTATTTGTTACACTATCTTTTCTGGCACAGAAGTTAAGATGATTGGTCTTTAGTTTCCTGGGTTGTTTGATTTTCCTTTTTATAGATGGGTACTAAATATGTGCCCTTTCCCAGTCTTCTGGAATCTCTCCCAACTTCCATGACTTTTCAAAGATGATAGCTAATGGCTCAGATACCTCCTCTATCAGCTCCTTGAGTATTCTAGGATGCATTTCATCAGGCCCTGGTGATTTGAAGACATCTAATTTCGCTAAGTAATTTTTAACCTGTTCTTTTTCTATTTTAACTTCTAAACCTACTCCATTTCCACTAGCACTCATTATGTTAGGCATCCAGTCACCACCAACCTTCTTTGTGAAAACCGAAACAAAGTAGTCATTAAGCACCTCTGCCATTTCCAAGTTTTTTGTTATTGTTTCTCCCTCTTCATTGAGCAATGGGACTACCCTGTCCTTGATCTTCCTCTTGCTTCTCATATATCTATAGAATGTTTTCTTGTTACCTTTTATGTCTAGCTAGACTGAGCTCTTTTTGTGCCTTCACCTTTCTAATCTTGCCCCTACAAATTATGACTGATGAAGAGAAAGAAGAAAAAAGTGGTATTTACTCCTTCCCATAACACAAGAACTAGGGGTCACCAAATGAAATTAATAGGTAGCAGGTTCAAAATAAAAGTATTTTGCCACACAACACGGGCAATCTATGGAACTTCTTGCAGGAGGGATCTTGTAAAGGCTAAGATTATAACAAGATTATAAAAAAAAAGCTAGACAAGTTGATGGATGTCAATGGTTGTTATATAGGATGAGCAGAGATAGTGTCCCCTGTTTGCCAGAAGCTGGAAATGGGAAATGGGATAGATTGTTTGGTATGCTGAGTTCAATCCCTCTGGGGCACTGGCATTGGCCACTGTCACAAGACAAGCTACTCAACCAGATAGACATTTGTTCTGACCCGGTATGGCTATTCTTATGTTGTTCTACAAGCAGTGAACTATATTATAGCACATGCTCCGAACAGTAATCTCTCTTTCTGGAAAAAAATTTGGATCCTTTTACATTTTCAACAATAGACTAATAACATCCACTGGTGTGTGTGGATGTACAATAATTCAAGCATGAGGAACATCAATGTGCTGATGTTAAAGGTGAATGAATACCAGCAGACTAAGCAACACATTAAAAAATGAACAATGATACGTGTGTCGCTGTCATCCTTGAAGTGTAAAATAAACAATGCTGCCAGAAAATATGCAACTGGGATGACATTTGTGTAAGTATACATGAAGGTGTACTGTGCTTTTTCATCCATGTTAGAAAACTTAGGAACAAATAATTACCTACAAGGTACAAAAGGAAGAGCTGATGGAACACGCAATGGGTGGTGAATTGCATTCGTTATAAATAAGGACTATTGATTAATTGTAGTTCTCATGCAATTAACTCCAAAAAATAAGCACAATTAATTGCATTCTTAAACAACAAAATACCAACTGAAATTTAAACATTTGTGAATTGTTTAAATATTTTCAATATTGATTTCAATTACAATATAGAATTCAAAGTATACGGTGCTCACTTTATATTATTTTTATTACAAATATATACACTGTAAATATGATAAACAAAGGAAACAGTATTTTTCAGTTTACCTCGTATGTGTACTGATGTGGAAGTTTTTTACCATCAAAGTGTAACTTACAAGTGTAGATTTATTTTGGTTACACAACTGCACACAAAAAATAAAATGTCAAACTTTAGAGGTTACAAGTCTATTCAATCCTACTTTATTTTGCCAGTCGCGAAGACAAATTGACAGTAGATACTGCTGCCTGCTTCTTATTTACAATGTCACCAGAAAATGAGAAATAGCATTCATATGGTATTGCAAGGTATTTACTGCCAGACATGCTGAACATTTGCATGCCTCTTCATGCTTCAGCCACCGTTCCAGAGGAGTGTGCTTCCATGCTGAGCATGCTCTTGAAAAAAAGAATGCATTAATTAAATTTGTGACTGAACTCCTTGAGGGAGAATTGTATGCCACTTGCTCCCTTTTCCTTGCATTCTGCCATATATTTCATGTTATATCAGTCTCAGATAATGAGCCAGCACACACTGTTCATTTTTAACAACACTTTCACTGCAGATCTGACAAAACACAAAGAAAGTACCAATGTGAGATTTCTAAAGACAGCTTCAAAACTCGACCACAGGCTTAAGAATCTGAAGTGCCATCCAAAACCTGAGAGGGATGCAGTGTGGAGCATGCTTTCAGAAGTCTTAACAGAGCAACACTCCAGTGCCAAAAATACAGAACCCAAACAACTAAAAAGGAAAAATCAACCTTCTGCAGTTTGAATCTGACTCAGATGGAGAAAATGAACATGCATCAGTCTGCGTTGCTTTAGATCGTTATCAAGCAGAACTCATCATCATCATAGATGCATGTCCTTTGAAATGGTGGTTGAAGCATGAAGGGACAAGGCATGTGAATCCCATTTAATTAGTTAACTGGTTAAACATTATCTCACCAGGCTGCAGAGCCTCTGCCCTCCGCACACCGGCTGGGCTGGGCCTGCCAGAGGTGGGGGCTGGTCTGGCTAGCCTAGAGTCCTCCCTTCCATGGAGCTGAAGCAGCCCCCTGCCCATGGCAGGTGGAGCAATGCTCTAGCCCCTGACAATTAACTGCAACTGGTAAGCATCACCCAGTAAGGGGATGCGTACCAGTTAACCATTCACATCCCTAGAAGGGATATGTGATCATCAAAAATCAACATATACTTTGTATTTTGTGATTAAATTCTGCAACTGAAATCAATATATTGGAAAATGTAGAAAATGTCCAAAAATACTTAAAATAAATGGCATTCTATTATTAACAGTATGATTAATCACAATTAATTACAATTATTTTTTAAACATGAAATTAATCTTGATTAATATTTTAATCACTTGAGAGCCCTACAAATAAGCACTGAGTATATTTATTGGAAATCACTGTATATATCTATCTTTAGTTACCTATATATATATCATACAAAATACAGGACTATGTAGCACTTTAAAGACTAACAAGATGGTTTATTAGATGATGAGCTTTCGTGGGCCAGAGCCACTTCCTCAGATCAAATAATGGAAGAAAATAGTCACAACCATATTTACCAAAGGATCCAATTTAAAAAAAATGAACACACATGAAAAGGACAAATCACATTACAGAACAGAAGGGGGATGTGGGAAGGAAGGTGAATGCCAGTGAGTTAATGATATTAGAGGTGGGGAAGGGGAAATGTCTGTGAGTTAATAGAATTAGAGGTGATAATTTTACCAAAGGATCCATCCTTTGGTAAATATGGTTGTGACTATTTTCTTCCATTATTTGATCTGAGGAAGTGGCTCTGGCCCACGAAAGCTCATCATCTAATAAACCATCTTGTTAGTCTTTAACGTGCTACATAGTCCTGTATTTTGTTTCAGCTACACCAGACTAACACAGCTACATCTCTATCACTATTCTATATATTATACAGCAGGCATGGGAAACCTACTGCATGTGGGCTGGAGGCTCCCTCGTCAGCAATGGGGAAAGCTGCAGCTGGGGGGGAGGGGGGAGAGAGCCCCGAGCCTTGCAGGCCACATCAAGGTAAACCATGGGCTGAATCTGGCCTGCGGGCACTTCCTGGGAGAAGGAAGTGGCTCTGCACTGGAATGGCACCTCTGTTCCCTACGCCGGCGCTTGTCCCCTCCCACAACTGCATTCCACCCAGATCCCATACCTCCGGCCCAGCCCCCACACACTGCACCCTACCTCCCACCCAGTTCCCATACTCCAAGCCCTCTCCTGTACCCTCCCTACCCATCCCCAGCACACTTCCTGGCATCCCCTCCCACACATTGTACCCCTCATTTTTTGATCCACCCCAGAGCCTGGAAGGGCACAAAATCCACTAGCCCTGGGCCCCCAAAAGCATTAATCTGGCCCTGAGGGGAAGTCCTGAGCCTCGGTGCCCTCTCCTCCTATGGGGATGGAGTGCAAAGGCAACCCTGGTGCCCCAAGTTGCATAAGTGAGGTCTTTATCTTTTTTTCCCCTGCTTATCAGTTGGGGACCATGTCCGAGAGGTTTTTGTGTCTTGATTTTTGTTTTTGTTTTTTGGATCTTACTTGTGTGCGGCTGCCAAATGATTTTTCTGTGGGTCAGTGACTCCAAACCCAAAAAAGGTTCCCCACCCCGTCTTACTGGATAAGACAAACAAGATTTGAAGACATGATTTGGGAAAAGACAGAAAGTATTCCTGGAAGGAGGCATTTTAAGGAGGCGTTTGAAGGACAGGAATACATACAAGCAGAAAAGAGAGTGCTCTTAGCAGAGGATGATGGAGGGTGTAAGAGTAGGAGTGGAAGGCAGACAAAAAGGAGCAATAAGGAGAGAGGATTAGGAGGACTGCCAGGGGAAAAGGGAAGAGGAAATAAATAAATAAAAGCTGAGCTGTATGTGCAACAAGATTACATGAGGAATTGAAAATAAGAAGAAAGAACTAGCACCCGATGAAGTGAAAGACAAGACGACAGCAAAAAGATTCTTAAAAGGAAAAAGGGAGTTATGCAACAATGCTGAAGCATGAAAGAGCAAGATTGCTCTCTCACACTTCAGCCTCATCACATATCTCTGGGTAGACATGGGGCAAAAGTAGGAAGCAGGTATCAACTAGAGCTGGTCAGAAATTTTCTGATTACGCATTTGTGCTGGAAAACACCAGCTCAAACCCAAAATTTCTCACAAAAAAACCCCTAAATTAAAATGATTTATTATTTTTTCTTTAAATCTGAGTTTACAATAAATTATATATCATGTAAACTGTGGTAAATAGCTGTAATAAGCAGTATTTCATTTACAGTCTTAAAAAAACCAGTACAGAGTGAGTAAGTAACTGACTGACTGATTTTTTTTTTACCATTATATTTCAGTGTCCATCTTAGACATAAGGGATTAAGAATATCCATCATCTGCAATGTCTACAACTTCAGTCATTTGTTGGTACACAGAAAGTGCGGCAACTAAACATACATCAGATAGAAACATTTATGTATTTTTTTAAAAACACTTCAATCATCCAATTATATGAGCTCCTAATCAAGACCAGCAAATTCTAGCAAGACTCCATAGATAAAAAGATTGCTCACAGTTCATTAACACAAGAAATTCTCCCTTTTATCTTGTTCAGAACAAACATTTTATAGACAGGGATCAATCATAGAATCATAAAATACTAGGACTAGAAGGGACCTCGAGAGGTCATCGAGTCCAGACCCCTGCCCTCATGGCAGGACCAAATACTGTCTAGACCATCCCTGATAGATATTTATCTAACCTACTCTTAAATATCTCCACAGATGGAGATTCCGCAACCTCTCTGGGCAATTTATTCCAGTGCTTGACTACCCTGACAGTTAGGAACTTTTTCCTAATGTCCAATCTAAACCTCCCTTGTGCAGTTTAAGCCCATTGCTTCTTGTTCTATCTTCAGAGGCCAAGATGAACAAGTTTTCTCCCTCCTCCTTATGACACCCTTTTAGATACCTGAAAACTGCTATCATGTCCCCCTTCAATCTTCTCTTTTCTAAACTAAACAAACCCAATTCTTCCAGCCTTCCTTCATAGGTCATATGTTCTCTAGACCTTTAAACATTCTTGTTGCTCTTCTCTGGACCCTCTCCAAATTCTCCATATCTTTCTTGAAATGCGGTGCCCAGAACTGAACACAATACTCCAAGTGAGGCCTAACTAGCACAGAGTAGAGCGGAAGAATGACTTCTCATGTCTTGCTCACAACACACCTGTTAATGCATTACAATCATTACAAATAGGCTACACCCCACTCTACAGAGCAGACAACGCTGAAAGATTGTTGAATAAGTGTATGAGAGAAAAAAATTGAACAATATGCAAAAGCATTAATGGGAAATTCATTAACCTTAGTCTTGACGGTGAAGCAATGTATACAATTTTCCAGTAATGTTTGTATGAAACAAAATACGGTGTTTTCAATGTTACAGAAAAAAACCTGATACACCAGGAAATACCCATACAGCATAATATTTAAAAGCAGAAGCAGCAAAAGCTACAAGAAACCGAACAAAAATTCAAGCCTTAAGTAGCTTTGTTACAGACAAAGCTACAAATGTAGGAAAAATAAGAAATCAGGAAGATTATGAAGAGAACCTGAAGCTTAAAAAAAATAGGTGCAGTGCACATCTGATGCATCTTACAGCCAAAGACTTAACGTTCTACTCCAAGAATAGAGGAAAATGTTGAAACTGCAAAATATTTCTGTAACAACCACTCTGCTTCAGCTTCACTAAAGAGAGCAGGAGGATCCCAACTAATTCATCTCCAAGTTGTACAATAGAATTCAGTGGTTGACTTGTTTTGAGTTATTTATTAAGAACCAACTGGCTTATTTGGTTAATAATTTGATAAGAAAATTGTGCAAAGCATGTAGATGGAAATAACACAGCCAAAATAGTAAACACTGGACTAAAGAGAAATGTAGAAGATAAGCTGAATATAATAATAAATTTCAGGTCTGGAAATGAAACATTCAGGCAGTATATATAGATTTGCTAAGAAAGTAATATCACTGAACTGGTGAGTCATTAGTTAAGTACCTCAGAACCAATTTTCTGCAGCAGTAACCTCTTCTGCAGGCACACAGGTTGCTTTAATAAAAAGTAGATTTTATATGCTGTTTGGCATTTATATCCATACTTATGCAGCTTGATACAAATCATGACTAAAAAGTTAATTAGCAAGTAAATAAGTAGTATCATTTACCATTTTCTAACATACTAAAAATATATACTTAATAATCTGAAATTTTTTTCTATATAATTGCTTAATTAAGATTTTTAAAAATATAGTTATAGTATACCTTCCTGGGTAGCAAAAAGACAAATCTAGTGTAAAGGCTTTATGGCTCTGTAAAACAACTTGTTTTAATTACTATATGAACCAACGAGAATATGCAATTTTCTTTAGAAAATAAGGGTACAAGTAGAAAGACTGATTAAAATTGATTATTTACAATAAAAGTTTTCCACCTGGTTATTTAAATCTTGATTTAAATAATCTCAATCTAAATCCACCTTGACAACTGTACAGGCAATGGCATGCTGAAATTGTCATGAAGTGGAATATTATAGCTGAACAACAGGTCAGCTTGTTTTTTCAAGTGTAGCAGGTAGTCAAGGATCTACAGTATCAAGACTTGGGCAGGGACCCAGCTAGGCTGGGTATATTCCATTTAGATTTTTCCTGTTCTGAGTCAACGTTTGCCAGACCTGTAGAGAGCAGTATGTCTATTAATGGTATTTAACTAGCCAACAAACATGCTCTCAACGGGAGCAATTCCAGGTCTGGATGGAGCATCTGGTCATTGTGTTATGAGATCACATCTAGATGAACCAGGAGCTCAAATAGAGGCTGATCAGGCATTTATAACAGGGTTGTCAGCCAAGACTGCCTCTCCATGGCTCTAAGTCTCCTGATCTTGAATCTCCTCTAGGAATCAGAGGAAAGAGTAGTAAAGTGTAGAGATGTCTGTACCACTGTACAAGGAGGATGTTTGGCAACAATCCTTGGCTTAGTTCTTCTCTGGAAGAAGAGCTTTGACATTTGACATTGTATTTGGCGGCAAAATAGTCCATAGGGCGGTGGGAGGAGATTCCCAATACCAGAATATTGGTCTTACAATAGATTTGTGCAGGGACCATTCATGGCTGGTCATCATGGCTGACCTCTAGAAGGAGAACGACCAACACGGTCACCCCCTGAAACATCATCATGTACAGAGCTTGATGGCTTTCAGACAGAGATGAGAAATGGGCATCCCATTATTTAAGTAATGCACAGATGTCATGTTTATGAAAATTTGTACTACTGAGTTCCAGAGAATAGGTAGAGATACTATATCCTGGCCAATCTGAGGTTTCTGAGCTGTCGGACTTTTATATGCAATATATCGTCATCTGGTGACCAAGCTTCTTGAATATGTATGTGGTCAAAAGAGCCTATGTTGATATTCTTTAGGCTAATAGCCAGGCGACAAATCTCACGGTCACTGCTATGACTATCAGACTCATGGCTACGTCAGAGGTGTCCATGGCTGCCTGTATTACTGTTCTAGCTACCATTTCGCCCTCTCTGATAATCTCTTTTAATTCCTCCCTTTCATCCTGTGGCACTTTCACCAAGGGATCACCCTCTACCACATCAGAAAATTACAGGTAGCAAATAATGCCTGAAAATTTCCTTCAATAAGGCAAATGACCCAAACATGTCTAGCTT